AAAAAAAAATTATTTTCCCTAAAAATCCTCTAATAACAACATGAGAAAAAGACTAAAAATTCGTTAAAACTTACCTTCACCCATGAGCTTTGTTAACTATTTCAATACATGATATAAAACATTCAGTGCCTAAAATAATATTTACTTTTCACTAATAAAAGGTGAAATTTATACCACTCATTAAGATATTTAACAAACTTAATTTCAAATTAACACCTTAATTAATATTCATTTAAATATTAATTACCATATAAAATATATAATTTTGTGCATTATATAACAGTTCACACTTTTATCATGAGATAATAAACTACTAAATCTATATAGCAATAAAACAGTACTCATAATAAAATTAATTCTTAAACAAATTAAAATATCAATACCAATAATGAACAAATATAATACCAATCATCTACAAAATAATACCAATAATAGCAATACCAACAATATCAATACCAATCATCTACAAAATAATATCAATACCAACAATATAAATACCAATCATCTACAAAATAATACCAATAATATCAATACCAACAATATAAATACCAACAATATCAATACCAACAATATAAATAAAATCAATAACAATAATCTACAAAATAAATTTCCTTTAAAAATTAGTGTTCTTTTAAATAATCAAAACAAAGCATCAAAAACGTTACGTCATCATTTAAAAGAACAAACCGCAAACTTTTATTTAATAGATATTTCTTCTTTCTTTTCTCCTGAAAAAAAAGAACCTATCTTCCTTTTTTTTTTTTTTTTTTTACTTTGTTTTGGTTTGGCCGGCCGGCCCAAAATTTAAATATTTAACATATTACTTGCATATTTTAATAATTGTAGGTTTGATTCTGCATTAATTTCTGCAGGTTTGATTTTGCATCATTATTTTCGAAATCCCCGCTTCGGATTTCTAATTCAGAAATACCTAACTTATTGAACGTATTTACATTGTAGAACTTCATAAGAGCAACAGATTTAGGTATACGTTTACCTATCTTTGGTATTTCGACGAAAACTATTTTGAAAACGAAAGCGATGCAAATTTGCACTACATCACTATTTTCGGTTCTTGACCGAAGGCATAAAAATGACGACTTCGGGCCCCATAGGTGGGCCGCCACTATAATAAACCAGGCTAGCTCTCTATGTTATTTTTATAACATTTTAATTAATATAAAAAATACAAACACAACACTAACAAATATCAAACAACATTTTCGTACTACATATACACATCTACTTGTAAAAAAAAACGTTCTACAGAAGAATCCGAGAGGATCATGCGTGAAGTTTTCCCTAGCTCCCTCTTTCGGGCAAACCAGGCATTACAGGTTTTTAAATACTGATGTTGTGTTAAAATAGAAGAAAAATTAATAATTTTTAAAATATGTTAACATCAGTGTGAATCAAGCAGTCCGAAAATGTCACAGCTAATGGGATAAAGTCACAATAATTCTAGAAGCTGGCTCCTATGAATTTTTTCTGTTTCCTATAATTTTGCAATTTAGTCAGTTTTAGTTAATATTTTTATTTATATGTGATAGTAATTCTCTAAATTTTCTTTATAGAATTATGATACATCTGAGTCCAAACTTCGTCGAGAATTTGAAGTTTATGGTAATATTCGAAGTGTAAGTTCTTTTGACTTAACTTTTTATTAATATAATTTAGTCATTCATAAATTTTTATTTATGTTTAAGATATTTTCCTATTTACAGCTTTTTTAAGAAAGAAATTGGTTGGAAAAAAAAATAAGAATTCTGTTGCTTTTAAATTGTTTTTTTTTTTTTTTTTTTTTTTTTTTTTTTTTTTTTTTTTTTTTGTAATTTACTTCATGAGTTTAAAATATTTTCTATATTTTTGGCTTCTCTTGTACATATTAAACAGGGTACGTAGCGTTTTTTAAAAAAGCGCTTAAAGGTATTTATTTTCCATTTTAGTTTTAGATTTTTGTTCTTTAGAAGCCTGTATAGGTGCTTTTTTTTGTGTGTGTTTTTTCTAGTAACATTTTTGATTTCTATTTTCAGCTTTTTTGGTTATTTTCCAAACTCATCCCTGTGGTATGAATCAAAATAGAGTTCTAAAAAAATTTTTGATTTTTCGAACAAATTGTTCTAAAATTAGGTGGGGAGGAAAGGATTGAAACTAGTTTTACAAGAGTTAATCAATGTGCTAAGAAAGTTTTTGATTTTGTATTTGCAGAAAGTTTTTCATGTGTTTGTCTATATATATATATATATATAATCAGCAATTATCATANTAATTATATATAGTAAAGAGATTAACAAATAAAATTAAAAATAATACATTTTATTTACTGCACATAAGCTACAAGTGCAACCCAAAAAATAATTTATCTATATATATATTCAGGATCTCCACGCACCTGTAAAGTCATGGATTTCGGTATTGAACAAAATTTGTCATGAATGATTTTAACGAATGATTGATGATTTTAACGATTTTCATTAATGATTTTTTTAAGAAAATCGTGAAAAGTCATGGAGTTAGGTTGCCGAAAAATCTCATTTTTAAAATGGAATTTACCNAAAAATAGCCCCCCCCCCGATTTCATGGTGCTCTGAATATCTGAATTTGTAACAAAATTTGCACTCACAGTCATATTTGAATAAAATATAAAATGCTCTTTGAAAATTATGGTGTTCTTTCAAAAAGATGAAAGAAAAGACCTTATTTCTACATCGAATTATCTTTTAAACTTCTGAGATTTCAGAATTTTTGTTTGTTATTTATTTTTTTTATCAATTTAAAATTCTAGCTGAAGCAAAACAGTCATTGGTGATTTTTTTTTATTCCGAAATGAGAGCAGGATAATGAGAAGTATTTCTCTCCTTCCCGATGAACAAGAAATGTATCTTAAGAATGTAATTCTGAGGAAGAAAATTATTTGCTTTTGTATTTTTTTCAGCTATTTTATTGCTTCAACTCTTTCTTTACTCTGTTTTTAAATTTAAAATCTATAAATATGAAGATGCAGAGTATAGCAGTTTTGATTATACCTATAAATTCAATTAATATTATTATAATGCTTTTTTAAATTTTTTGTTGTGTTGTCAGAGAAAGTAGTAACTTCGTTAAGTCATGAATTTGAAAATCTAAAATATAGCAGATACCCTGTATATTATAAAAAATATATTCAAAAAATTTTATTGGTGCACATACTATAGTTGTGATTTTTTAATAAGTGCTTATAAGTTTTTTTTTTCTTTAAAAATTCTTATTTTTTGTTGAAAAATTTAGCTATGTACCTTGCTAGAAAAGTTATTTCTTTTTTTCAGCTTGTTCTTGTGCATGATCAGAATTCTGGTAAGCCTCGAGGGTATGCTTTTATTGAATATGAGAAAGAAAGGGACATGCACAGTAAGTTCTACTTTAAATTTAGCAACTATGTGAATTTGCAATTTTTCAAATTTTTTGAAACATCATTTTTTTTTTAAAAATTTAAATTCATTCAGTTTGAGATTGAAACGAACATTTCACGAAATTGACACTCATAGGTAGGTTAAATTCAGAATACCAGTAAAGGTGGGTACTTAGCTTTTCAAAACAATTTTAGATTCAACACTTGTATCGCTTTTAGGCAAGTTACAAATCTTAAAATACTAGTGCAGATTCACCAGCGCTTAGTAGGATTCTATGAAATATGACAAGCTGTAAAGTAATATACTGTTATTTGTAATGCATTGTATTAAAAATATTATTTTCTTCATTATCGGCAAATATTTAGTTTGTTTGTGTAATTAATATAAACTGCTGTTAAAAAGTCTTAAACGTCATTGTATTTAGATATTTATAACAATAGTTTTCATTTAAAGATATTCTCTCATAATTAAGTTAGTTTATTGAATCTATAGCCTTTATGTACTTTCTTTTTTAAATTTGGTAGCTAACACATCTCATACTTTTGATCTTAATTTTTATTGTTTTGGTTTTTGTTCATATAATAAACAAACTACGTCAAATTTAAAAAGATTTTGTCTTCTATTGAACTGCAATGTTTGGTTTTAACTGAAAGTATATCTAGAATCATTATAAAGTAAGTGCATTAATTTCGGTTTTTTAAAACAGTTTGTCAAATTTGAATCTATACTAAAACAAACAAAAAACAAATACTGAAATAAAAATATTTTTACGTGACTTACTTTTTATACCAATGGAAGGTGATTATTAATCCAATCATTTTTTTTGTTGTATCAGTTTCATTTAGCTTTCAGCGTAATTTTATGTTTAAAAAAAGCTTAAACTACTCAAGAATTTGTAGATGCAAAAATGTCATCGTAAAATCTCTTATTTATGTAAAAGTTTAAAATTTTAATAGTTGGCTAATTATCAAGAATCTTTCATATATTAATCTCAAAATATCTTTCATACTTAAATTTTTCAAAGGGAATTTATACAGAATTTCGGTGAATTTGGGACTCAGACCTTAGCTTGTTAAAATTTTCGCATTCATTTTCTTCTAATTCAACATAAATGGTTTTTAGTAACTCTTTCATTATCTGTCTGTTTCACACCCAAAAATCATAACAAAATAGTAATTACAATACGGAAACTTGTCTTGTTTTAGCAGAGTCGTACTATGTGTCTTGTTGTCTGCACTTTTATTTTGAGGTATGTAGACTGCCGATATTGTGATTTCGTTATCGTTGTATTAAGGAATAAATTAACAATCGATTTGTCTTATATTCCATAACAGCCCTCCATTATGGCTGATGCCTACTACAGTACCGATTTAGAGAACTTGTCCTAAATTTCTAAGGAATGATTAGGTTTGTATATGTATGGTAAGCTGGTTTGGTAAGAACATTTCTAATTTGTTTTTTACCATACAAAAGAAATTAAAATTTGCCTGTATTGGCTTTCTGAATTTGGGAGAGGGAAATTTTAGGCTATTGCCTTTTTATTGACCCTCTGAGCGTTGAGCAACTGGGCGAATTTCTGTAGACTGTTTTCTTCAATGCGGATTTTCAAATTCAAAAAAGGAATACGGTTTGTATTGCAATGATGCAACAAAAGTGGCAACAACAAAAATTTGGGGTAACGCTCGGAGGGTTAAATTGGAATTGGTATGTAAGTTTAAGCTGAGGTAAGCAGCATTGTGAGAAATGGAATTTTTTTATATTAGTATTTACGTTTCAAAAAGAAATCAACTTTGTCTGAATGAGTTAAGTTCTAATTTGTTCTTGTATTTGAAAGTAATTTTTTTTTTTCAATTCCTATTTATATCATAAAAAATATTGGCAACGTAATCAAATAAAAAATCATTTGACGTATTTTTTATTTGAACTAAGTTCTTAATTGCATAATTCCAAATTTCTTTTGATTGAAAAATTACTTTTCTTTAAAAAAAAAAAAGATTTGGGGGTTTTAAAGTAAAAAATTCTAATGTGTTACTTTTGTTTAGTTCCTTTTAGTCTTTAAATATTATTCTATTATATAATATAAATCACTGTTTTTTCATTTAACCCTTTCCAGCGCTAAAAATTTTTATTTAAAATTTTAAACAGGCGCACGTACTTGAGCTCCATGCTGTTTCAAAAATGGTGTTCAAATAGTTTCAAATTTTTGATGGTTAAATTTATTTTAATTTTTTAGCAAGTGTTACCAGGCTGGCAACACTGCGCTGGAAAGAGTTAAACATGCTTTAGTCTAAAATTGTATTTTTTTTTATGTAATTTTGTCGTTTCTCTTGTCTAATTTCTTATTACAAATGAATGAATATTCATAGGAAAATTGTCTTCTGTTTGTTTATAGTAATTGTCTATCCATGTTAATAGTTTATTTAGATACTATATTTATGATGCCTTTTTCACTGGCTGTAAACAGTCTAAAAAAAGTTTTTTTTAAAATTTATGGTAAATTTTCAAACTTTTTGTACTCTTATTTACAGTTGTAGTGAGCTATTGTTAAATTAGTAATAGCTAGGAAGATTTATTTTTTGACAATAACAAAGTTAATTGAGTATCTATTGTTCAAGACTTTTAAATATTCTATCATATGTTTTTAGTAGAAATATTTATTTTTATTAAAAATCTTTGCATAATTGCTCTGAAATTATCTGATTATGAATTAATATGTTGTAGTATTTTAGGAATTTCACATTTTGTAACAAAAAAAATTTTTATGGTCTTAAAAGTCTTTTTTTTTTTTTTTAATGAAAATTCCATCATAATTCTCATTTAAAAACTTAGCCCTACTTTGATCCAAGGATTTATAACTCCTAAATTTTGATGTTTTCTTAACTTTTTTTTAATGAAAAGAAAAATTGATTCAATAAGCTGCAAATTTAGTTTACGCAATCAGTTCTAGAAGGCATAAAACTTGTTATTAATGTTTATTTTTTGTATTTTTTTTTCTTCCCTTACTGCATTTTCTTTATTATAAATTCCTTCATACTTATTTCTTTGAAATTATGCATGATAATCAAAAGTATTTATTACATCTTGATAGTAGTGTTTTAGTATGATTTTGCAACTTCTGCAAAATTTTCATCATTAAATTAATATTTTATTATTTTTAACTTGTTAAGCACTGGAACACTTTTGCTAAAGAATAACTATAATTCTTAACATTCCTTTAATTGAAATCAACTAATGTTCATACTAGAAATCATATGATTAATTTCAATATGATTCTGCACAAAAGTAACTGTATAAAGTAAGAGAAAAATGTATAATTCTAAATAAGCCTTTTAACTTAATAATCCTATCAAGCATTCCTGAAATTTAAAAACATAGCCGGGCAGAATGTTATCTTTTAGTTTGTGCTTAGCATGTTAAATAGCTAAAGCAGATAGAAATGTAATGTATAGTAATAACATATTTTACTAATAGTAATGTCTTGTTATAAGAAGATCTGAACTTTCATGGGGATTTATTCTTTGGAAACAAGTTTTTAGGAATTTTAATTGTGTATTTTCAATATTCTCTCTAAAGCTTATCAGTTAATGAGTCTTAATTTAAATCTAAGAAAGATGTTTTTAAAAAATTACTTAGTATTTTTATTTTTAAAAAGATTATAATGCTATCAGATTTAAGCTGCAAACCTGGGTTAAAAATTCTTTTAGCATTAACTTTGGCTCCATATAATATTTAGCTTTCATTTAATAAATATATTCGCAGGTATCAATGGTAGTTTATCAGTGCAAGTGTTATAATTCTTGTATTTTAATATTTATTATTGCATTAAATAGTAACTATTAAACTTGTTGTATACTCAAGTATTCCTTCAATATGTGCTTGAAAAATGATATCCTAATACTTACATTAGTCCTATTTTATAAATCAGAAAATAAAGCTTGTTATCTTTTAACATTTTACTTTTAATTAAGATACTGAGTTTTCCCTGTTGAAAATAATTTATTCATATTTACAATAGTTAACCTTTTGTACTCAAACATTATAAAGCATTTAGATAAGGAGAATTTTAAGAATATCTGAAAACTAGATTAAAAATTTTGTTAGAGCATCAATCTAACGATTCAAACTTGTAATTCAGAAGATTCCTTGATAATCCAAATTAATAAAGATCCCATAAATTTTAGAGGTATATTTTTATATTCAGATCATATGTTTAAAGGGTTAATTTTAAAGTTTTAATTGTAATTATATTAGTATGAATATTGCAAAATAAGTTTATAGGTTTAGAGTTTTATTTCTGGAGAAGTAATGAAACAAATTTATTATGAACAATGCAGTAACTAAGCTTGTCAAACTCTAGAAAAGTTGTTTAAATGCAAAACAAAATTTATTTCGTTTTTGTTTGTTTGTTTTTTCCCCGCTATTCTTTTTTTTTTCCAAAAAAAAAAACATTTAAATTTTTTTTATTCATGTACAATTTCTAATATTTTGTTCCTATATTTTTTCTGACTAATGTATAGTTTAGTAACATTCAATCCAATAATTTTATAACTCTAAACATATTAGCTTATTTTATATTATATTCTATTTTATTTTATTTTGAAACTTTTTTAATTTATTTGTGTAACATTTGTATTTGATGTGTGTGAATGAAGGTAAAGTAAAAGGTTATTATGGTAAGATCTTGGTAAATTAATAAAGAAATAAGAGGTGTGTAAATATGGTAAGCCTTTTTTTCATTTTGAAAACGAAAACTTACACCTCTTGGGTTCTATGTAAAGAAAGTTTGAGATTAATTTAATCGCAAGGAAGATAATACTCAAGAAATGACAAAAATATTCAAGGCTTTAAAGACATACAAGGAGTTTCTTCATTTCTTAAATTGCTTCTATGCTTTTATTTGGGTAAGTTCGGTAAGTTTTTAAATTAATTTTTCATACATGGGAATTCGTTAAGTTGATATAATTAATTACAAAAAATTTCAGGTTTTTAAATTATTAAAAGTTTATTTGACTTTATATTGATCGTAAAAGACTTAATCACTTATTTATTTCTGCAATAAATTCATTGATTTGGGAAAGAGATATTTTGGCGATAATTTCAAAATTGATTTTAAAAGAGATTAAAAAAATTTATCTGAGATTTAAAAAATAATTAGTTTCGCAATTAAGCAGTGCTGTAATTATTTTTCAATCTTTTACAATCATAGATAGATAATATGATGTAATATTTTATGACTTGTCAAACTTTTACTTGCAAGTGTCCAAAAAAAAAACTAAATCATTCGTCTAAATTACCATATGGATGTTCGGCGCAAGAGAAATCTTTACCTTTCATAAACACATACATGTGTAGGGGGCTCTACATAAATATTGTATCTGAATAATGTTACATTAGGTAAGGTTTGAAACTTGCGATAAAAATTGTAAAATTTTAAAGATTATTTTTTGTTCATTTAAAACTTCTTCACAATTTTTTCTTAAGTGTTCAAACCTTTCTTGGTAATTTTTGTTCAATATAAGTTAAAATTGGAGCCCCCATGCACAGCTACTTTTACTGTAAATTGAAGTTTTGCTGTTTCCTCTAATGTAAGTATTTCAGGTAAGAATTTTGAAACCTATTGGTTTCATAAAATATACTTTTTATTGATTGTTTCTTTTTCTTTTGTTGCGTCTGTTTTCAAATGTAGCTGCCTATAAACATGCTGATGGTAAAAAAATTGGTGGTAGACGTGTTCTGGTTGATGTTGAGAGAGGGCGCATTGTCAAAGGCTGGTTACCCAGGAGATTAGGTATGCTATCCTACCCCTAGTGAATTATGCTCTACATGTTTTCAGTTACATTGAATTTCTTGTGTTACATTTCTGTATCAATGTTTAAGGGTTTTAGTGATGTAAATCAACTAATCATTAATCAGTTTATGAAAGTTTATCAGCTTTTATTTTTGTAGTATGGAATAAACTATGCAGCTTTAAAGAAGAATTTAATTTATATTACAATCTTTAAAATGTAAGACAGATAAAAAGTAACATGCCTGTTAATTTCATTGACTTTGTGTTTGGCATCTTTATTAGACATTTCTGTTTAATCCCTTATAAGTAGCAGACTGAAACTGCAAATCTTGCCATTAAGTCTTCCCATTTAGGCAAAAAATATGTGATATTGTTATTTAATTTTTTTTTAAAAAAAAAATTATTGTATAATTTTAATGAACATTTCAACAAAGCAAGTATTTTTGTATTGTAACTGCAACCAGAATTCGCCTGTTAGTATCTAGGCAAGAAAAAAAAATGATATAGAGAGATAAAATATTATTCCATAGTTTAAATGAGTGAGTCAATATTTTATTATCTTTAGTTTCTTGGCTACATAAGCCTTTTCAAATGATATAAATTAAAAACTTATGTTTTTAAAAAAAATTAAATAATGATTTAAATGAGAATGCTAGTTATGAAGTATTTTTATCCATATGGTTTAAAAACTTTATTTTTGCTATTATTATTAAGAAGAAAAATTTGATTAGGAAAAAATTATTACATCCTGATAAGCATATGTGTTTTTCTTCACTATGAAAATTATTATTAAATCAAAAGATAAAATGCCAAAAGGGTATATGAATTTTTTAAGACAATAATAGCTTTTGTTGATTACTTTTTGTGGTACTAAGCAGCTAAAAAAAGAAATGTCATATTTTATTTATTTTTCTTACATAATAGGAGGTGGACTTGGTGGAACTAGAAGAGGTGGACCAGAAGTAAATGTTAAACATTCAGGGCGTGAAGAGCCAAGAGGAGAAGATCGTCATTATATGTTAGTAAATCTTTCTTAGTAGCTTAAACTTTTATTGAAATTTGCTCATTCTGTTTTCTTTCTCTTTTGTCTCCCTTCCGTGTTTCTTAGAATTTTCTGGTCTCCTTGAAAACATTCTACAACTGTATTTTTTTTACAACAACAGAAGAGAATAAAATGAAAATCTCAGGTCTTGATAAATTTTCATTGTTGTCTTCGTTACCAATTCTTAGAAATGTTATCGAGTAAAGTTAGCAATCTATATAATTTTAATTGAAAATAAAAAGTCATTGAATTGTAAAAATAGCCAATAATCCAATAGTTTAGTTCCAGTGTGTGGTTAACAAACAGACAAACCAAAGATATAATTATTTTGCAGAAAGTCAGTTTAAAAAAGGACAGGAACAAACTTTCTTTAGTCTGCTTTTCTTGCGTTATAATTGAAAGATTTGTTTTGACAAACGTGACGAATTGCATTATTTCTTACCTTTCAACTTGAAATACATTTTATTGTTAATTCCTTAAAAATATGAAACAAGCTGTCAATTGTTATTCGTAAAAGGTACATCAGTGGAAGTTATCAGTGCAGTATTGCTTCTTAGGCCGGCCGGCCTGTGTAGGGGGCAGGGAACTGTCCTTGCATCAGAAAGATTCTGGGTTCGAATCCTGAGCAAGGCATGAATGTTTTTCCTTCTCTGTACTATCTGTCCTCACTGTGAGAGCGAGGTTGGCCCATCTATTATGCCCAACAAAATCGCCTTGTATATGCCTGAATAGACGAATGTTAAAACAGGTGGGCATTGGAAGAGAAGAAAAAATATTGCTACTTAGTTGCTTACCTCTTCTCGTACATGCCACTCTTCTGTCCTAAGGATGGAAGGCATCTTGAAAAAAATTCTGATTGCATCTTGATTGTCAGAACTCAGACTCATAAATTATAAATATCTATTTCTTAGAAATAAGCATTTTGCAAATTATTCAGGGTGCATAGCGTTTGTAAAAAGTCTTAAAGGTGCTTTTTTCAGCTGGCGTTTTTAAAAATTGCTTTTTTCCGAGTAATTTTTTTTCCCCTTCAGTGGTATCTGGTGGGTCCCATGCATTTCACGAAAAATTGGGGGTTTGCTACGTAATCATTCACGCAGACTTCATGTCGTACCCACGTTATGACTTGCGCATGCGCTCACACTTGAAACAGAAACCCCGAGTGCTTCAATTCGGATAGAGAATATCAGATCCTTATGAAATGTTTTTCTTTTTAATTTATTTTAATTTTGTTCTTGTTTATTTTACTTCTAACACTTTTTTTTGACGTAGGGGGTAAGAGTACTTTTGTTCTGAGTTCAGGGTCAAGTTGAATTCACTCGGTGATGTGGGAAAGTACTGATTGTTTCGATTTACGCCCGTTTTTTTTTTTTGTTTTTGTTTTTTTAACGCTAAAACTGTTTATAAAAAGTTTTTGTTTTTCATTAATATCTTTGATTGAATATGAATTTTTTGAATGCTTGAAAACTTTTGTAAAGTGATTGAAAGATTTTTAAAAAGTGCTTATTTTTGATTCAGAGATTTGGCTACGCACCCTGTTATTTATAAAGAATTGTATTTTGCTAAAAGAGTATCTATTCAAAAAAAATTAGTGTGCAAAAAAAATGAAATTACTCTAAGTTATTAGATGCAGGATTGGATTATTTGCGGCTTCGAAGACAGATGCAGTTTGTGGTAATTGGACATAAGCTCAGACTTGCAGACTTTCACACATTTTTTCTGGAGACTCCTGATTTCTTGCTGCATCTTCAAATATCTTAAATAAAGCTAAACTATTTATAATTTCACATCAAGTCCGATGGTCGAAGGGCTGGTAGATCAGTACTACAATCTTTGAACTTACACTAATTATATTTCATGTGGGATCAGCTGATTCAATGTCATAAATATAAGGGTTAAATGAATTATAAAAGTACAAATTTATAACTGGGGAACTGTCCACTGGTATAATGGCATTTAAAGTTTATTTACTCGTACTGAATTTGTGGTTTTTAAAACTTTTCAGTCCTCATTTTATAAAAAAGAAAAACCAATAGTGTACATTGAAACACTCTTCACTTTGTTAGCAAATACTTTAACAAAGTTTGTTATTTGTCGTTTCCATAAGTTTGATTCATCTCTTGCATTTTATTAGAAAAAACTTTGAAATTAATAATTGATGACTGAATTGTTAAAGTGCTGAGTTGAGGGGCGTTACTATTAACTAATTTTCTTTAAACAAATATGTTCAGCTGCAATACTTGATATTTTTCTTTTGTAATTATTTCATTTAATAAATATGTAATCCCATTAAAAATTTGGATGAAATATTGCAGGTTTTTGTTTATTCTTAATAAAATTCCCAGTTTTGTAATTATTACATATTTTTTAGTCTTTATGATGCTTGGATCGTGTTTAATTTTCATTGTGTTCTTCTGCATAATTTCAACCCATCTTTATGAATTCAATTTTATAAATAAGCTCACCGGACAAAAAATTTGCCACCCTAGTGGGCAAGCACTGATGAATCGTTAAGTTTCGTTAGATGACGCTGTGATCAAGTAGGGCTGATTGTGCTCCGGAGATCGAAGGTCCAGATGTTTCAAAAATATCATCGATCACAGAAGTTTTCAGAAATCAAATTTTCAAAGGTGGAACTTAAAAACACAGTTTATTTTATTTGTTTGTAAGGGAGAGCCAAAGAGATACTTTATAAGCTTATATTATGATTAATATTCATTTTTTATCAGTAAACAGTTGTTATAATCATGAACTCAAGAAAGAAAGGCATATTTGTACATTTTAATTACTTCTCCAGGTCATCATAGATATGTGTAAATAGTATAGGTATGTGTAAAATTTTAAATATATTTTAAGTAAACTAAGAAATATTGAGAAAAAGGGGAAAAAAGCCTTGGTCAAAGTTTTTTCTAATTTTTCAATTTAAACTGTCTTTTTTTTTTTAACTCAATTTTCCGGAATTTTGACTTGGGCTCACAATCACCCCTGATCAAGTGATGTGCTCAACTGCGAGCACACTGCTTCAGCGTGATCAAAGATAGGTAGCTGTCAATGAGATTTTTCGTTTGAAGCGGAAATTGTGTGTAAATATGGGTAAGTGTAAGGATGTGATAGAGTGCTAAAAATGGGCAATTGTGTTGGGCCGTGCTCATTGTCATACGGTGAATGAAGTTGCTGGATTTGTTAGTGTTTCGATGCGGACTGTTCAGCGTGTCTACAGGCAGTGGTGTAACACACGTGGTCACGAAAGACGGCGTCAGAATTGTGGTCCAGGAAAAATCTTGCGTGAAATGGAACGGGGAGGTGTTTCCCGACTTATCAATCAAAATCGCTTCCAATCCCAAAAGGAATTGCTTCAGTTTGTAAATGAAGATCATCCCAACGTGCTAGTGAGAGATTTATCCTAAGGGAGATGCATGGAATGAACATTTGAACATATCGTAAAAGGCCATTGCTCATGCAGGCACATAAAGCTGCGCGACTTCAGTGGGCCAGAAGTCACCGAACGTGGACAGTTACTGACTGGCGGAATGTAACATGGTCTGAGGAATCGCGTTTTTACCTTTATTCAAAAGAAGCACGTCATTGAGTGCTACGAAGAGCAGATGAAGCATTTCATCCTGACGGTGCGAAAGGTCAGGTTCAAGTCGAAGACGGGTCTGTCATGTTCTGGGGGCTTTTTTTCTCGTTATGGATTGGCCCCCCTCACTGCACTGGCTACCTAAAGTGAACCAACATGCTTATTTGAGCATTCTGGATGATTAGATGTATCAACATCTTCACGAAGAGTGTGTTGTCGATACCCCTATTTTTCAAGATGGCAGCAGCAAAGTTCATCGGCCTGGAAGAATGTGACTGGTTTTATGAACACTCACACTCAATTAGATCTCAACTGGCCTGCAAAATTACTTGACTATATCCCCATTGAAAATTTGTAGGATATTTTGGAACAACGGTTAAAACGCCGAAATCAGCATCCTCGCAATTTGATGGATTTGAGCGATAAAATCCTCAGCGAAGGGCCTATACTGGATTCGACGGACCTGCTCCATGTGGGCACATTTCCTAACCGAATCCAGGTATTTATCGAATTCAGAGGTGGTGTTACACGCTATAAATGATGTTTTTCATGATTTCTCTAGGGGTGACTAATTTTTTGTCCGGTGTGCTTAATAATAAGCATATAAATTCTTTTGTAAGTAATTATTTTCATTTAAATATAATATTTCACTCATCTGTTTTATATTTTGGCTGCTTGTTATTGATTGAAAAAAGGGATTATTGGTGCATTGGGTTAATAATTAATAGTGTTTTTTTTTTCCTTGAAAAATTAAATTATGTTAAATGTACAAAAAACAGCCTTGCACTTTTTTATGATTTGCACCCATGCATCTCTTCACCATTGAAAATATTGCCAAGTCTTATTTTTCATGAGTTGTCTACTTCTATAGGGAACATGAACTTCTATACTTCTATGAGTTGTCTCCTAGGTTACATACTAATCAGGATTTTCCTAATGTTTGAAACCTTTAAGTATAAAGATGTTTATGCTCCAAAGTACTGCTTTTATTTATTTTTTATAATTATAAGCTTTAAACAGTTTTCATATTAAAACCATAAAACAATTTTAGTGTATGTCTTTGAGGTTTTTTTTTTTTTAATTGCAAATGTAGGTTTGGTTTATCTTTAGTCTGCAATTTCAAGGTTTTAACGCTTGTCTTATCAAAAAGACAATCCCATTAAAAGTGTTCCAAGTACATTTTTTTTTTAGATTTTCAGCATAAGTCCATATAGCTTTGACTACTGTAGAGATGTTTAAAATTCCTTTCCTATCATACTTTTTTTTTTAATTCCTATTAAAAATTGAGAGAGTCATTTTAACCTTTACAATTTTTTTACAGGGAACGTGAAAGAGAGAGGGGAGAACGAGAGAGGAGGAGAAGTAGAAGCCGAAGTCGTGAAAGACGCAGGAAGAGTAGGAGCAGGTACAAATGAAACAGCTTAATTTGGTTTTATTTGTTAAATGTTAAAGTTTTATAGATTTATAGTTCTCACCTTTCTAAATTGTTGATTCGCAGAAGAAGAAAAAAAAGGATTAATTGTTGAGTATAATCCAAGCAAACACATTCAACAGTTTGTTTATAAAAACTGCTCACTTTTAACCTTTCATGTATGATAGAATGGCTATCATTTGTTAAAGATTAGTTAATGCTTTTTATTGTGTATTTTTCCAAACATGCTCTATATCTATTAGTAATTTACAATACCAATTTAAGGGAGAAAATTTTGGAAAGCATAATTAACCAGTCTATTCTTTTAAATAATCATCTCCAAAATTTTAATTTTATTTTCCTCATACTGTCATAACAATTTTGTCATATCTCTATCCTGTTTAAATCATTTGATATAACTAAGTGTTGATGCAACTGCTAAAAGTGTATTATTGTGTTTAGGAGCCGTGAGCGCCATCGTGGGGATCGACACAAGAGGGAACGATCCAGGGACAGGGAAAGAGTTCGGGATCATGATGCTCCAGTTAAAACTGAAAATGTGGATGGTGCGGCTGAGGTAGCCCCAGATGCTGAAATGCCCCGCAAAGAGCGGCGTAGGAGTCGAAGTCGTGACAGAGATCGCAGGAGAAGGCGAAGTCGCAGCAGGGACCGAAAACGCAGGGAAAGAGGAGGAGGAGATGACAAGGATCGAGATAGTCGCCGTGAACGTGACAGAGATCGTGGTGGCGATCGAGATGAACGAGTTAAGCCGACATCCTTCCCCGAAATGCCTATGCCTGAACCTAGCCAAGATGACTTCAATAACTCTGGATATGAAGCAGAATATAATAATTATAATAATAATAGTATGGAAGCTAATAATTATGAAGGGTATTGAGGAATTTTAATTGGTCATTTCTGTGTTAATGGTGTTTAATCATTAAAATCATACTTTCATTTATTTTTCCAAAATTATCATTCATTAAACAAAACATTTTATTTTCCTTATCTAGATTGCCCATGTGTCATATTGCTATGTATGTCTAATGATAAAAATAAATATTTGTTTTACCATTAAAGATTGTCTCAGTTTGTGATTTAAACACTTTCTTTTCTCAATAAAATCAACATGTAAATGTCTTTTTGTTAAAAAAAAAAAAAAACATATGAAATAATGTATTTAAATTATAGAGAAATACTAGTTCAGCCTAAAGTAGTTTATTTTTGTCAAAAAAAAATCAGATATTAATTTATATGTTCTTCATTTCATGTAAATCATTTTAAGCTGATAGAATAGTTTTGAATTAACTATTAACGTTTGAAAGAAAATTTAACTTCATATTTTGCTGCTCTTATTTTTTAACACTTTACATCAAATTGTAAATACAATATATCAATCATCTTATTTTTTCTACTGTTTTATTTATTATTAAATCTTATTTACTTAGATTATCTTCGTTCGAAAATTTCGCTGGAAAATGTTTCTTTTTGTGTTTCTAAGAATTTAAAAAATTTCCTTGTCCGAAGATTATTACTGTTTGCGTGAATTATCCCTGCCTTTCTTTTTAATGCAAAAACTGCGTGAAATATGAAATTTTGCACTTTTTCAAAGGAAATTATAGATAACATAATGATGTGAAAATGTTATTGATGCGCAGATATTAGTTATGAGTTAATTCAAGTATGAAGTTTTATTTTGCTGCATTATTTAAGTGAAACTATTTGCAGTAGTAAGTATTATATTTTCTTATAACCACGTACTTTTTTATATCTGATAATGAGCAATGCATCTTTGTTTAAAAATCTATTTTGTTTTCTTCTCATTGGCACGACAGCCCAGGATGAGCCTTGGCCTTCTCAACAAGCCTATGCCAAGACATTCTTCCCTTAGCCAAGGTTCTCCAGTTAATTATCTTTAAAATTTGTAGGTCCTTTTCAAGGCAATCTAAAAATCTTAGGTTTGGTTGTCCTCTTTTTCTTGTACCTGTTGGCCTGGCACAGAAAACATTTTTGGTTGTCCTGTTATCCTCCATTCTTATAATGTGGCCTACCCATTTAATCCTTTGAATTTTGATAAATTTAATGACATCAGGTTCTTATATGCTTTGTAAAAGCAAATAAAAACTGCGTGTTTTTTTTTCTTTGATAGATCAATCTATTCTAATATAAATTGCGTCTTACTGTGGGTATGCCTTTAACAATGGCTCACTACTCCATAACGACCACACAAGTATACACTCATTATTTTTAAAGGGGGGGGGGAAACGCTATCGAAATCTTGCAAATGCGCAGAACAAAAAAAAAAACTGATTACTTGAAAAAATTAAAAGTTGTTTCCAATGATTATATTTACACTCCTCTGCTGTTTTCTCCTGCAATCAGGTTCTGGTATTTTATACATCCTCAATCAACACTTGTAATTTCTTATAGTGTTTTGGTTTTCCTTTCCTTTTATGTACGCATTTTTTTATTTGTATTAGACAAGCATTCTATGAATATATATATTGAAAGTGGTCTTTGTGAAACATCCTGCATATACTTAGTGTTGCCAAGATAAAAAGAATGAACTATCATCTAATAAATTGCATAACACCTTCCCTTTGTTTTCAAAATCACACTACTTTTTGTAAATTAGTATTTTAAATACAAGGAAAATTCAATGTAAAAACTTTATTTTATAAATCTAGCAGGCTCCATCCTCATCTTGAAATTAAAGTAACATTTAGAATTAAAAACTTATTCTTAGGGAAATTACTACACTGGTTATAAATTAGAAAAATCATAAAAATAACCATAATTCCAAAAGTAATGCATTATATAATAATGTTTTAAATAGCATAAGTATTAACCAGACAATTGTAGGGCTACAGAAATTAGCATATGAAATCAGATGTTCGGAATAAAAAAAATACCTTCAGTATAGAGTATAAGCTCTTGCAGCAATACAGTGATGAAAGTGCGAACCAATCTTCTTGCAAAGCTAAAGCAGTTGTAAAGATCTCAGGATGAAGATTGAGATGAGAGTAACTACATGCCTTCCTAAAGCATCCCAAACGTGCTAGATAGGATTCAAACTCTATAATCGTGCAGGCCACTGTAAGAGCTGAATTGTCTGCTGCTGAAAATAATCATCCTGTGATACGAAATCCTCACTTATTGCACAAGCATACGGGCGCACATTATTATCAAGGATGTCTTTATACATGGGAGCATTCACAGTTCCACGTGGGAAGACATGCAGGCTCCCAAAGAGATACCACCCCATACACAGACACTGCCTCCTTGGTATGCATCTCTTGCACGGACGGATGATATGGGGTTCTATACAAATCAAGCAACGCCTACTATCGCTTTAGAAACTAAGCCTGGACTCATCTGTGAAGAGAACAGCCGTCCAGTGGACATGTTGCTGCGCCCACCTCAAACGTTACTATCATGGCGTGGCACGCAAATAACTGGTCGTCTAGCGAACAAACCACGTTTAAAAATCAACAAAATAGATGAACACATAGCTGAACTATGTGCAAGTTTTTTCAGAGATGCACTCTCTTGTCATACGTGCAACTACTTTAAAACCTTTGATTTTGAGCTCATCAAAGACAACATAAAACATAGCCCGGCTTTTTCCAATCCGATGGAGTTTTGTCCCGTAAATTTTGTAAATACTTGTATATATTTTTGCACATTTATTATGTATTTTTCCTATTTCTATGTGGCGACTGTGCATTTAAAAAGCACGGGGGTAATACCTCCAGGGGAGGCGAGGCAGTCTGCCACAAAAACCTCTTCTTTCTCTTAAATTTGTTTAATCTCGCTATTTCATTTTAATTTTCTCTCAGTAAATGTTACTGAACCTCAACTCCCACATTCAGTTGCGCTACAGCGATTTATTATTTATTCCCACTCAGATGAATTAGCATCAGCCCCGCTAGGGGCTCTAACTAAGATAACCCCCACATATGAGTATTCCAGCTCGAACAGTTGACGAGGGCAGACGTTCGAGCTCGACGATCAGCTCTGACGCTAGAGACACTTACCATATCCTTCGCGTCACGTCTAGAGCTGTATCACGGTGATGTCTTACAATATTGTAGTTAGTTTTACTTATATTCAATAAATCTATTAATATGCATAATATCAGTGCCTGCATGGATTTTCATTCTTCAACATAAATCAACACGCCCGCTAAACTAGTATATGTTCTTATCATCCCTTGGATAACTTGCTAAAAATTTCACAGCCAAAATTTTAAGTCTTTTAACAAGAATTTATAAGTATTAGCTTTATATTATGCATAATTCCACCAAAAAAAAATCAAATTTACTCTTATTTTGTGCCAGTTCAGCAACAATTTCACTCCACCCCCTCCCCTGTATTAGTAGAATCAAAGCATTTCTAACTATACTGAATACACCGAGAATTCTCTGTTGAATCTTGAAAAAGTTAATATCTTAATCTATTAAGTTACTTACAATTTCTTTAATTTTAATATTTTCGATGAAATAAAAACGTTCTAACAAAATTCTTGGCAAGAAGACATGTGGTTTTTCGAAGGGACAGTAAAATATGATTGATATTTCTACTTAAACAAACTAAGTAGGTTTAGAATTTCAGAAAGAAAGAAAAAACGATTGCTACATTTATCTCCCATCATTCGATTGCTTTGTAATAATGTAAGACAGATTTTAAACGAAGTATGAAAGAGAATAAAAAACTTTTCTAATGTCTAATGGCATTTATAATGAAAATCTGTATAAAAAATACTTTATTTGTTGTAATTACTTAGTTTCAATTGTGCGCTGTATAAAAACAAATATTGAGAACAAAATTCTTATATTAGGTAAAGAATAAACATTAAATGTAAAATATCGTTAAATGAACATTTTTATGATGTTATTTTTAACTTGGATTTTTTTTTTTTTTTATTAAAATAAATTTTTTATCTATTAAAATATTTATGTCCGTCGCAGGGTTTACACTTTCTTAGATAAATATGTGTCCCAGGATCATTAAGTATGAGACATTCGCTGTTTCTGTTATTTTAACACTGGACATAGATTTAACTCTATTTTATTATTTTTCATTGAGTAAGTAATAATCTTTGAGTTTAGAGCAGTATAGCCACCTTCATGTGTTATGATATTCTGTACTTTTACTCAAATCAAGATGTTTGAAATATAGAATAGATGTAGTAAAAAATAGAATAGGTGTAGAAATAAATAGGTGTATAGAATAGGTGTAGTAGGAAAGTTTTATGAAAATTTTAAAGAGAATATAATATATTGTGGGTCTCAGATTTGCATAATGCTCTTCTCTTTTTATTTAATTTATCCAAAATAAATAGTATATAGAAAAGACGCTACTGATAAATAATTGGTTTGAAATATTGGATTTTTCAAAAAAATACTTATTGCTCTGTTTCTTTTAAAGTGATTACCTTATTAAAAATTTAAAAAAAAAATCATTTGCCACAAATTGAATGTTTTCTTACAGTATTCTGTAAGTTTCTTCAAATCAAAACTTTTGAGTAATTGCCGATGTTTAATCTTAACTTTTATAAGCTTAACATGTAAATCTATGTAACAAAAAACACCTTATTTTGAAACTTTATAAAGTAAAATTTCTTTTCAACCCGATTTCAATGGAAATATTACTGACTTTGAATACTTATTTCATTTTATGTATTTAATAAGTTCATTTTTAATTTTTTTAAATAACTTAAGTATTTTAATTTTACATTATATATTACATTAAAGTATTTAAATCTGAGCAGACTTTCAGTTGTCAATCTTCACCTTTTTTTAATTATTGTATATTTACAGCTTAGATGCTCGAAAAAAAAAAATTTTCATTTTCTTACACAGTTATATGTTTAGAATTATCACTTTTGCAATATTTAATATCTTTTCATTTTTGATAATAGTTATTGTGTAATAAATATAACAATGGGACGATTACAAAAACCATAGAGAGAACTAATTTATGAAATATATTGGTACTTCAAATCTAATCCAGGTTCAGCCCTTACATACAACATCATATATAATTGAATTAAATGTAAGCTTTCCTCCAAATGAAT